ACACACACACACACACACACACACACACACACACACACACACACACAGTTACAGTGTGTCAACAGCCACTCTGTTCAACTGGTTTATTCATGGTTAACCCCATCACCTCCAGTGAAAAGTACTGACTGTCACTGATTAGTGTGTGTGTGTGTGTGTGTGTGTGTGTGTGTGTGTGTGTGTGTGTGTGTGTGCTCTCTCCTGCAGCCAAATGGGAGGCACTTGACAAACATTATGGAGACATTCAACAGTGGAACAGCTGTTCTAGCTCGACCCCGATCGCACTGGTAACATTGATTTAACCAGGTTACATCTAAAGAGTCAAACGGGCTTCAGGGTGTACCGCTCTGTGAAGCTGCATTTATTCAGGCTAAACATTACAATTGTTATTACAAATCATCCTGAGGCAGACATGAACATCTGCATCCAACGTAAAGACAATCCACGTAACAACTGTTGAGATATTTCACTCAAAAACCACAAATGTCAACCTCACAGGTGGATGAAAAACGCCGTCAGCATGGACCTTTTCTCCAGCCGGTCACTTTACGGTGACAACACGACGGTCACAGTTTAGATCCCAAACCGGAGCAACATATCATATGGTGGGTCAGTGCGGGTAAATGCACAAACATCCCAGCATCTGTATCTCACTTCAGTCAAAGTCTAGTCCCAAAAGCAGGCCGTCTAGTCCGACGTCGCCTTTCCTTCCTAAGTTAACCTTGAGAAGAACCTGCACAGTAATAACCACAGCTTCACACATGAAGAAGGAAAACACTAAACTTGCTGATTGCCGCTTTAAAATGTGCATGTAGGTCTGTAATCAGCGGTGTGTTCATGATTACAATCACTGAAAGAACGCTGGCATGTTGATTGCATGACAAGGACAACAAACAGTGCTGATACTTAAGAGAAGGGTTGTGGGTTTAAAAACAAACGTTTTTCTATGGACTCACACGTTGAATATTTCTGTCCTGCATTAGAAATAAAATCAAAAACATTGCAGAGTGGAAACCAAAAGATGAACCATCAAACAGAGAGACATGAGGTGGAAATAAGAGAAGAGATCCAGAGACGTGTTGAAGGAAAGACGAGATGAAAAGTGGAGGAGAGGACACACATCCCTCATTTATTGGTCAAATGTAACTCGGGTGATAATCCGACTGGTCACATTCTGGCTGTTTTACAGCTTCTCTGACAAGCTAGCAGTTTAGCCGTTTCGTCCACGTTAAATTTGGTTATTTGTACCAGATGTTTGGTTCATAACAGCGGCTGATGGGTACCGACATTTATTATATCTCAAGTTTTTCTTCAAAAGACAGTCTGACTAAACTGTTGTACAGTCTGAACTACTGTAAGATATTTTATTGAGATTACTTTTAGTCAAACGGATCTTCGTGAATTTAAGATCCCTCTGGTAAACAGTGTTTATCGTCCAGGGCTCTTATTGTGAAAGGTAAGAACAGAAGGAGTGGATCTGGTCTTAAAACCACTGACCTTTAATCAATAACTGCGCCAACGTTTTATGTCACAAAATAATCCAGAATTATATTAAATTCTTATAAAAGTTACTCGTCACCTCTACAAACGTAGCTGTGTTTAAAAAAAGACAGAACTTCATCACCAGCTGTCTTTCCTCAAGAGCTGGGAAAAGAAAAACACATCACCTCAGATGTCATGTGACCTGCCACCCACGTAAACCTCCCACACGCACACAGTCTCACACACACACAGTCTCACACACACACAGTCTCACACACACTTTGGTCTCGTCTCATGTCGCCATGCAAGCTCTCAAATGTGCGAACGTGTCTGTAGGTATTTATTTACGTATCTCACACTCAGTGTTGTTAGTTTATCTCTCTC